TGATCTGGCTCATCATGGGAAGAAGGGGAMGAAGTAGCAGGTCCTTCATTGCTGTCTTGATCTTCCTTGTTGGGTTTGGGGTTGTGCTCAGGGTCTTCAGGGCTGGGTTGAGAAGAGGGTGGACATTCATGTCTGTGATGATGCTTATGGCGATGTCTGTGACCAAAATRATGATGACAATGGGGATGTCTGTGTGGATGTCCCAGAGCTGAATATTTGCCTCTTCGCCCACAGCCATGGTGCTGTTTATAAAAGCATCAGGGAGGACGTATTAATCAGGTGTTGATAGGACAGAAGAAAATGGTGAGAAAGAGAGATATGGTAGGTAGTCGGTTTGCATTTATAACTCTGTTGATCTTTGATGAAAAAAAATACGCTTTTTTTTTTTCAAGATAGAAAGATAGGAGTAGGTAATAAAATGCCAAATTGCTGAAAATCTGAAAAAACTACACCATGTCAAACTACTTGTGATAGATCAAAACAAAATAAATCCACACTGGAGTAGCTGTTGTAATATAAACTGGAATACCAAATACGATAAAGATCATCTCCCCTTCTCTTGCTTTCTAAAATTTCTTTGAACTTGTTTGCCAATCTCTACTCACTTACACTAAGTCAAGTGGTTGAACTGAGAGAAGACACTCTTGAAAGGAGTAGTAAGGACAGCTTAATTTTAATTCATCCTCTGATTGACCTAGGACTGGAAGATCTGTCTGTCCTGATATGCTGCATCACACCCAGGCAATAGAAAATWGGCATAAATGTTATAATCGTCTGCCAGTTGGGACTAAGCAAGGTTGCTGTAACCTGCATGAGGATAGCCAGAGATGTGTCCATTAGTGAGTACTTACCCATGGATGGTAGATTTCACAGCTTATATCTGTTCCATCAGCTTCATCTGCATCACTGATAACTCTTGCCTTGCAGAATCCAGTGTGCTAAGGAAAAGAAAGGGAGAAGACCACAATGCAYATCTGGGTTCTTGAGATGGAATTAGTATAAACTGCTGAAGTTGAGCATTTGACAAGTTAGACTATTCCTTCAATACCAAGTTCGTATAATTTAGCCAGATCCTGACCCTTCTGACCAGTGCTTGCCAGTGCTTAATAATGATTAAAGTATGTGCTGTTTTTGATGGTTCTTGACTGTGATGCACTCTAGGTGCACTTCAGCATGTGCATCTAGAGCACTACTGCTCCCCATCTTACTTCCCTTTTGATGTCTAAGAGATTGGCCAGCTACTGGTGCCTCCAAAACAAGTACCAGTTGGTGACTGATTTTTATTCTTTTTTCCTGTCTTTGCTTGTCAAACACAGAAGATTGTTAAGATTGTGTAATTCTGCTCAAAGTTCTCAAAACTTGGCACTGTGTAGCTATGCTGCTTCAGACAAAGCTCAAGATAGAGCTTTCTTCCATTTATTTTTTAAAAAAGTAACTTGTTCTAAGTTTTTAGCATTATTTTCCTTAGCTTCCTGTTTGCRGTGACTTTCTCCTGCTGTCCAGACGTTGTGTATAGAATTGCTCATGTGAAAGAGCACAGAACTCAGGTGATGAGTGCTGTGTATGCTCTCTGYACTGGGTGCTTTATCTGAGATTTGTTGGGGCCATTAGCAGTCCATTATGATCAGTGACTACAAATGGCATTAATGGCATTTTACACACAAACAGAATTCAAACAGAGAACAGAATTCAAACCCTCTATAGCCATCTGCCTTGTACTTCATTCTAGTGAACTTGTGGCTCCCTTTCCAGTTAATTCACAACCTTTTCCAGTCTTCTGGAGTATAAAAAGCCAGAGAAAGTGGTGGATGTACATAAACCAAAAGTTTTACAKGTTTTTTTGTTTGTTTGTTGGTTTGGTTTTTTCCATGTCATTATTTCATTATTTCAATTTAATTTCTGGGGAATAATTTATTCTGAAATTATGAAATATTGCCTAGCTGTTTCTTTGGTGTAGACTATTATAGTAGTGGAAAAGTGGAAYACTTTGCTGGTTTTCTGCAGATGAGCTTGAATAATTCCACTCTCCATTCCTCTGCAGCAGAGGAGAAAAAAGTGACCCTAAGCTCACTGGGATGGCATAAGGCATATATTTTTTTCAGGATCTATAGCTCATATTACTGTAAAAGTTTTTATAGACATAGTATGAATGATTTGCTAGGGATTGGCCACAATTTGAATGCAAATCCAGATCCAACCTGGAAATCTCTAGGCCTTTAATACACCAGACTCCAGTAACGCTAAGATTTGAGAGTTCAGACTGTCTCCTTATTAAAGATAAAGGAGCAGTTGTAAAATAAGGATATGGGCTTGGACATGCTGGATTTTTAATTTTGAGTTGCATGCTTATAATATGTATGCTTACACATGCTTTTAATATGTATATATGTACATGCTTATAATAAACACTTGGAAATATATTAGTGGAATCTTCCTGGTACCACCCATAATATCAGTTCTCATTCTAAGACTTTACTTACAGCATGCCAGTCATGCAGAAAATCACATTCCAGTGCCTGATCTTCTTGCTGAATAGATTTGGAGCAGTTGGTCTCTTTTATAGAGAATTCTAAAATGTGACCTTCACGGGAGGCGGTCTGAAACCAAGAGGTCAAAGAAGAAATGGTAACTAGGTTTATTTAAAGTCCTGTAATTTTCAAAGCAACCATAATTCATCTTATTGTCAAAATCCCATCTAATTCATGCTTTCCTTATCTGTCCCATTCAAATGTTCATGCATATATGCATATTCAGCAAGGAAAGCAGGCTAGATAATTTATATCTTACTTGCCTCACATCCTTACAACTTCCAGGAACACTTGCTTTAATTCTTTGTTTAATATGTGTCTGTTATAAAATCTGTTACTTTTACAGCCTGTTTTTAGAAAAAGTGTCCTTAGAATCTTCTTCCCTAAACTGAACTGCTGCTCCTGTGAAAGCAGAGMAATCTATTGGATGGCAACCAACCCTTTCCAGTGAATGGAGTGCATAGTATTACAGCACTGATGTTAATTTGAGGTGAAATGCTGCCAGTTACTGTGAGACTGTTGCTTTCTCTGTTGTCAAGGGCATTAGTTTTAGAGAAGGCCTTACTCCATATGAACATGGAGAAGGCCTTTGTGATCCTATTAAAATCCATAAAGAGGTGTTTCATTTTAATTTCCAACTACAGCAGTACTTTTATTTCAAGTCTGTGTTGAAGGTGTCCTTAACATGTGTGCACATACGGGTTTCACTTGTTTGACTAAGTTGGTTAAAAGTGCATGCACATACTTTATGGCATGGGTTTTTTATTGTAGTTCATAGTTTCTGGCGTTAAAATCCAGTGGTACAATTTAARGTGTTGCTGTAGCTGAAGATGGTGAAGTGTGAAAACAAAGTGCTTGGGGAGAAAGACACAAACACAGGCAATGAGAAAATAATCCCTTTCTAAATGGCAGTGGGGGTACATCGTGCACAGGGCTACACTGTGGAACACTGTCAGGATTCTGAGCAATATTAAAAGCTGCAGGGAGGTGGGTTTGGCATGCTATCATTTAGGCACTTTCCAAGATCTACATGTATTATGGTGGGAGCCATGGGACCTCATTACAGAGGTGTCCTGGGCTGACACATGTGTTGGCAAAATGATCGTGTGCTGTTTAAGKGCATGTCTCCAGTATCTACCAACAAGAAATTTTGTTATTAATATACTTCAAATCACCCAAAGGATAAGACTTCATGACATCAGTCMGATACAGAGTTGTTTGCCAGACCCAGAAGTTCTTCAAGAGTTACAACACAAATTCACCTCTTATCCTCAGAGTGCTGCTTTGCTCTGCAGCAAGTCAAAATGATGCTGAGCATGTTCCACTCTGTGTTGTACCCATGTGCTAAATATTCTTAGAGTAAAAAATTATCTGTCTTCAACTGACAAAATGTGTGATGATAATRCACAACTTTCCATCTCAAAATCTGCTCAGTAGTAAATAAACTCMTGTATGTTATGATAGGTAAATATGAATTCCAAAATAAAATATGTACACAAAGGGGCTTCGAATTTTGAATGCCATCATACTGCCATAGTTTTTAGCAAGGGAGAAATCCTTTTGCTTTCACACACCTAAACTGAAGTTGTTATCAAGTATTTGCTGAAGTAGGACTTTCAACTTTAAACAGATGATTTATGCTGGTAGAACTGATCCTAGMAGGGTTTGAGTTCTGGTCCCATGGTTTTGGAGCTGTTCACAAAATTGTGTCATTTCTAAGTAATTCTAGGAGAAAATGCAACTTACCATCTTTAAAATTTTTTCAACTTTATCCACAGCAAAGTTGTTTGTGTGGTTACCTTCACTGTTGAATTTCTTCARGGCCTTTGCAGCAATATCTTTATGTTGCTCAGTGACTTCTAAAGCTTCRATTTTCACAGGACAATCTTTGCACTCTAGTAAGTCAGGTGGAACTGTGAAAACAAGTAATTTACTAATATTGCAGTGGATATTAATACTCTTGGGAGTGTGCCCATGCCTTTAAGGTGAATTCATAATGAGAAACTTATAAGTAGCATTTCCTTGGAAGTGAAATACCTGTCCCTCACTCCACAAATAAGGGTTTGTCCTGTAATGTGAAAAAAAAACCCATGAAAATGAACATTCTTTTAAATCACCTTAGAATATTGCCACCACAAATGGTCAGTCTTTCCAARTTTACATTTGTTCTGATATTCATTAGCATGTTTTGGTGGACTGGAATGGTGATATCATCTGACATCAATAAAGTCTGGTTTAGAGGAGTATGGTAACCTTAATTCTATTATTCATTCTTAACATTCCATTTGAATTATCTAAAATATGAATTTCAAGCAGATGAACAAATCTATTACGGTTACCATGCACTGGTAGTGTACAGACTTTGGTACTAGGGCTGGTTTGAGGTATGAATTGGCTTACAACAGTGGTTACTTTACCTGGACTTAATGTACAATTAAATCCATATAGTTGAGGTTTCTTCAGCAGATGGTCTGTATATGTGATAATCTTACATTGCCCAAAGTCCTGAGAGGAAAAAAGAATACATGATTATGATGTGATTTTCCCGGGATTTAATTGGATATAGGCGATCATAGAAATTACACCTTCTTTTAATGTGCAGTACCTCTAAGAATAACAGATGTGGTCATTAATTGAATGTTTGATTAAGTACCATTCAAAATTTGTCTTCAGATAAAATGGGATCTCTCTACAAGAGTCTTTATTTCTCAGTTTRCATGACTGAATAGGCAATGGATAACTGAACCAGATGTCCTAGTGATCCTGATACTTATTTACAATACGGTAGTACTTGATAGCAGCGAAATTCTCTATAAAAAGTGGATGGACCTTTTATTCCATTCCTTTTCTCCACTTCAAGAAAAAGAATAAATGCTTTCTCTTCTCTCCTTCTGGCCTTCCTGCTTTGTGCTGTGTCATAGTATTACAACTGTCCTATTTAAACAAAGTTTTGAACTTGGAGTTCTCATCCCAGACTCCATCATTGGACTGAAAACAAAAGGGTACATATTGCTGTATATCATTCCTAGTACTGACACTAGCAATATTTCACATTGTCATACCACAAATGCTAGGACAGAAAACTGACAAAATATAGCGCTGGTATTTCTGSTTCATATACTAGGAACATGCTTAAAAATAATTTCTAGTGCCCTTTAGTTGTCAGCAAATTATCCTTAAAACATAAGTTCTGCTACAAGCAGTGGAATGTGGAGTACAGTTCCTTTGAGACAACTAGTTAAATAAAGCTACACTTATTGGAAGAATCAACCCTTTTCCAAGCYTTTAGCTTATGTTTAGCAGCTCTAGAATTAGACAGCTTTTGGTGTAGAATGAGCCATATTAAAGCCTAGTCTTCACTGAGATTTTGTGACACAAATTTCTGGGCAGTTCGGATGAAGATCAASTTAATGCCTTATTGATGTATGAGTTAGTGAAGATGCCATTACTTGCCTTGGGATAGGTGTCACTGTATTCACAGGACTCCCAGTGTTTTCTGGATAAGACAGGGCATTCAGTTTCCAGCACATCCAAAGTTAAATAGAGGATGGATGAATTTCCCTGCAAGAGAAGTGCAAGTAAAAAAGAGTTTGTAGACAAGAAGTTTGATCTGAAAAAAAACTTTTTGAGGTCAATATGTTTAATCTTTAATGAAGCTTCTCCAGTTCTCTATTAAGGTTTTTYGGAGCTGAGAAACATAGAAAGGATTCAGGCTGGAAGAGGCCTTGGGAGGTCATCTTGCCCAGCCACTTGCTCAAGGCAAAGCTGAAACTTCAAAGTTTCAACTGCATTCTGTGTATCACCAAGACAGATATTCCACAACCTCTCTTGGCCATTCCAGTACTTAAGCACTTTCTCCATGCTTTTTTTTAGCCTTATAAATAGTCAGAATTCCCCTTCCTGCAACTTAAAACTGTTGCTTCTTATCTTTTTGTTGATAACCTTTGAGAAGTGTCTGTTGTTAATCTGATGTTCAACAAGTAGGGAAAATGCCTRTTCAAAGGCTGCCATTCCCTGTTTCTGCTTTTAACATGGAACATATTGTTCTATTAGGACATCAGTTGTCTAGGCAGCCAATTATATATCTACATCCATTTCAAATTACCTTGGTGACCAGATACTTTCTCAGAACCTTGCTTCCTTCTCAGTTCATTCAGAGACAGATGCAACAAAACTGTAATAACCCCAACAAAACCAGAAGACTTAACTCTGAAACTCTTCTAGTATGTTCTGTCTCCTGASTGAAAAGGATTAGGAGAATTAAAATTTGAATTTGGCTGCCAGTGTAATGGGAYGTGGTACTAAGAATTTTCTGTGACCCACAGAAACAGTTTAGAATGGATTATTTAAACTTAATTCAGACCCTATATGGACATTTACGTATTTTATTCTGTTACACAGATAAAACTATACAAATCCCTTCACTATGAATAAGTGTCCTCAGGTTTTATGAAGTTCCATCCATTCAAGTTCCTTTTTCAGAGTGTTTCTGTATAGACAAGACCTTGTGAAAGAATTGCTGCAGTATAGTGTAATATTTTYGTTAGTGAGAATCCACTAGTGTCACATTAAACACTGGTTTTGCAATATTTGTGTATCTTAGCATTGTCTCTAATTGTAAAATAGAGATTAAATGTCTACATCCACATATGCAGTAGAAAATTCCTCAGTTGATCTGCTGAATGGCTCTTGGGCGGGGGGGGGGGAAGAAATGGTGTTACATGGTGTCTTCTTGGTTGTTTTAAAAGCTTTTTTGTCACTAGAGTTCTGCACAAGTTCAGAACTGTTCTGTTGTGGATAATTGAGTATCTTTATACTCCTGTATAAACCCAGTGGAGATTTTGTTGGAATTGCTCTGATTWGTTCTGGCATTTARGCAGTCATTGAGAAATGCTAATGTRCCTTCTCTAGGAAACACAAATAGAAATAGGAAGGAAATAGGAAATGRCTGATAGGGATTCTCTATCCAGTCCCTCCCCTGTTTTGCAGAGTAGCAACGCCTTGGACTTCCTGTGCCTTTCTTTCCTTTCCACCAGTTTATCCAACAATCTCCGAAATTAAGATAATAACAAAATACCAATCTTGCAGGATCCATTGGTCTAATTAATGTTAGACACTCATGGATTAAAGAAACCTTCTGAATATTAGTTTTGAGTATAACATCTGAAACTGGACAGCAGAAAGGACAGATTAATTTCCAGACTTGTGTAAAGCTGTCCAGAGCATCTCTTGTGCAAACATCCTGCTGACCAAGAGAAGAGGGGCCATCAGCATCATTTGAAATCAAGGTTACATGCAATAAGTCATACACGAATACTGAGGTGGTGTAAATCACAGCTGATTCATTGAATTACATCAATGTTGTTCTGTTAAAAGCAATAAACGAAAGCTCTTCTTGACCTTACTCATTATTAAAAAATCTGCCTTTAAGTTGATACTTACTAAGCGTAGTTCATGTGCATCAGCAACACGGAATAAACCAAAAACATATCCATCTCTGCGATGTCTGTTGACCAGATCCAGGGCCACTCCTGCCTCTGTTTCAATGGTGTTACAGTCTGCAGGTGTAATGCTTGTTTCGCTTTGGGCATTAGAGCACTGCAGTAGTGTTAGAAAAAAAGCTGAAGCTAGAAGCAGCATTTTGTTTGCAGTGTAAGGTCACTTGTGCCCATGCCCTGATAAAGCCAGCAGTCTGCTTTTAAATCAGAGCAGCCCACCAAAGCGAATGCTAAAAGGGCATGGTTTTATATAAATTCAAGTGTCATGTCAGACAGCCATTACCTTGACCCTGGATTAACATTTGCAAACAGCAAGTAAATGATTATATAGTGTTTGAGCAGATTTTGAGGAAAGTAGGCCTTATAACACTCTCTGGACTACCCATCAAAGGGTCTGTTTGTGATTCTTTAAGCAGGCATTGTGCAATGGTGCTTTACCATGTAAAGTCCTTACTTCTAACAGTATAAGGCTGAGCCTGGCAGTAAGAAGGTCCAGTTTATGTGTGCAGATATTACCCAATCTTGGTCTTCTGTTTACTCTTAAAACAGTTGAACTGAAAATATGCTGAAATGTTTGTGGTCAAATTATGGCTGTATCTATATCCCTGTTTTTACASGTCCCTTTCCAACAGGGAACTAGTGAAAGGGAAGCAAGGAATTGACTCAGATTTAGAAAAGGGACATAGCTCAAGGTGCACTGCGAACTGGTGGTCTGTAGCAGCTATTTGAGTACCAGCTACTCCTCCAACTCAAAAAAAAAAAAAAAAAATATTAGAGCAGATTTGTATCAGCTCTGCATCATTTCAGCCTGGTACTGAAAGAGACTGACTGGCCTAATACCCACGTAATCTAGGTATGGCAAGAAGTGACATAAAGCTGCCTTTGCATTCTCAGTCTGAATTAGTTTGTGAGCTCTTTGGCTGTGGTAGCCTTCATAGACTTCTTTAGAGAATTACAGATAATTTTTCTTTTTGTATTTATTAAAATAATGAACTCCATATTAAGATTCATACCTTTCAAGGATATGCCAATATCCTCTCCCAGGCAGAAAGGATGTTTCTTATTGTATTCAAAATCTTTTATTCAGGATAGTTTGAGACATCCTTAAAAGGCAGTAATTGCTTGTCAGGGGATGGCTGCAGACAGAATACAAAATTCAAACAMTGAATAAAAAAATACAAAAATACAAAGTGAGTCCAAAATGACAAGGTCAGACTCAGATAAGGAATTTTCCAAGTCCTGGTTGATGTGAAGGTTGGAATAGCTACTCACACAGAAAGGTTCTAGTTATGTAATTGACTTGGGGGCTGGAAGCCAGATGATCTTTAAAGTCCCTTCCAACCCAAACCATTCTATGATTCTATGTCCTGCATTTACACATTTGACCTTGAAGGGTTTTTTTACTTATTTTTTTTGACAAACACACAGAAATACAGTAAACAACTACCTCATTTCATTAATCTTTATTTTTAAAAAATCCATGTCTGATGTCTAAGAAATCATATTTTAAAATGCATTAAGCTGAAGCTGTAGATTTCATTCATGGTTAATTCAGGACACAACAGTTCTCTGGTAATAGATAAGCTAAATGGAGCATCTTACAATATTAGAACTAGAGGCACTCAGTTTAAAATGGTTAAAAAGAGTCCCCCCACAGAAARATCTGAATGCAGACATTGTCATTGGGGGCAGAAATTGCTTAGGGAAGTCCATGACAGCAGGTCCTTACGTGGATAGTGGAAGGACTAAGCAGAAGGGTACCCTTTAAAGTCCCTGGTACAATGATTCTGGGTKCTGGAAAAGTACAAGGGGAATGGTTTGCAGAGAGGGGCAGGTCATAAACTTCTTCTAACCTCAATTGTCTTTTGCCTCTGACAGAGATGAATACTGGGCCGGATGTACCACTGTTCTGATGAAATAGGGCGTTTCTTTTGGGTTTGGTTTTATAATATTTCATCAGAATTACTCAGAGCCTGTTCTGGAAAATGGAAATAAAGCAATGAAATAAATGTTGTGTAAATAATCAATTTGAAATATATCTCATCAGTTAAAAATAATATTCCAATCTTTGCTGTGTTCCAAATTGCACCCCAATTCATTTATTACAATACTAGTTAATTTTTTCAAATGGGCAGTGATACTGAAGAAAGGCATTGGATTAGGTGATTTATAACATTATTCCCTCAGCCGTCTGTTGTTTGCAGATTGTTTGTTCTTTTTTTCCTCTTCTGTTCTGGGCTGTTCGCTGTGACACCCATCATTTTTTTTACTGTAGCTTATGTATATTTTATGTATGAAGTTGAAACAGTATGAATAAACAGTGGTAAATGTGCAATTCCTGCAAAATTGACTGCAGAAGTAAAATAAGATTCTCTTCCCACTCTAGAGAATTTTGTCCTTGATTTCTTTGGGAAAGAAAGATTGGAGTCTATTAAAGTACAGCATGGACAAGCACTCCAGGCACAGTAAGAACAGTGAATTAAATACTGGTTGTACTTAGGTCAGGATAATGTATTTTTATCACTTCTCCTTCAGACTAATATCTTTTTAAAATCTTATTTTGTTTTTATATTTATTACTTGTAAGTTTTGTGTGTAGCTTTAATGAAGCCATCTCTATAAACAGATTGCTGGAAGGAATAGGAATATTTGTCCAAACATGGCATTTCTCTTGAGCAGCATATCAAAACCTCGTTTATGACTTTTACCAAGGAAGCAATAAGAGGTGATCCACATTCCAACTCTAAGGATATGGTAATAAAGATCTATCCCAAACCTCTCCAGAGGACTGGGAGAACACATCAAAAAGAGGCTTATCTTCCCCACTTGAAAAATAGTGTATGAAATGCTTAATAAATATAACTTTAAGCTAAAGGGATAGAAAAAGGAGAGGTGACACATAAAGGAGAAGATATCCAATAACCAGTTCCTCCTTTCCGACAGTACAGGCATAACTATTTACAGACATTCCTGGTTTCTTGGGAGAACAACTGCTATGAGCAGACTGTTCTCTGCCTTCTGCAGGAGTGCTTCACTGTCAGGCTGGTGTCACCACAGCTCTGTCACTCGTGCAGGCAGCAAGACCTTTCCCATCTCGTACTGTGCTGCTCTGCAGCCGCTCTTGTTCCTGCTYCCAAACCAGAGCCCATTGAACACAGACGTGTAGCTCCTGTTGTTTACAGGTGAATTCTGAACTGGCATCTCTTTACTTGTTTTTTTCAGTCTGAAATTCCCCAGAGCTTCAGACCTTGGTGGCCTTGATGTAAAATCCAGAAAAGATTTGCAGTTCTTGGGGTGGCTTTGCACTTAACAGCGATAACCCAAGTAGGATGGAAAAATATGTAAATGTGACATGACTTATTTTTATCTGCTGGGTGTAAACAGGATGACCCCAATGCAAATGCAGTGTTACAAGAATTTGCTTTGGTTATGGCTTTCAGAGCAGAAGCTGCAGCTATAGCTTCCCCTCTCTGCCTGCAGTATATTTTTCTTTAMCAGTCACCAGTTTTTTATCAAACTTGTAGCAAGTTTCATCACCTTGTCTATCAAATTTCATTCAAACAGACCTCAAGTTCAAAAGCTATTTGGAGGAGACAAAGTGTCAAGTGAGCAGGTTGACAACGTAGTTAACAGAAGTCTCTTTGCTTCRGAGGCCTCAAGGACTAATACACAGAATTAAAAGGGCGTCAGTATTCYTTGTCTTGTCCTCAGTGTCTTTGGCTGCAAATTGCATTTTACTAAAAAACTGTCTAATTGTAAATTGATGACTGTAAGGATATGCTGAAAGACTGACCTTCTTGCAGAGGGGCTTGAGAGGCTGGGGAAAAGGTGAGGTTGAGAATTTGATGCTAAGAATGGGGTCAGAGGGAGCTACACATCTCAGAGATGCAGAAGAAAATGCTTAACTATGAAGTGTATGCAATAGGTAGGTTCTGAAGTCAGACAAATATAATTTATATTTAGCTTATTTTATAAAAACCTTGGTTTTTAAACCCGTTTTAAGAACTTTGATGTCTGGGTCTTGCTTTTTGAAATCTGTTTCATGGGCCAAGGATGAGAAGAAGAGGATAGGCAAAAGATCTAAACAAGTGCACAGTCAATGTATGCATAAGTAAGCCAGAAAATCTTCTTCTGTATCCTTTGGATATTACTGCCCCTTTTTTTTTTACATTCATGGTGCCTCACCAGTATTCTGAGATAAAAGATTGGAAATATCAGATAAAAATGTCAACAGTCCTGGAGGTCATCGACCATCATTTATCTGTGCCTGAATAAAAAACATTCATGTGAAATTGGAATGTTTGCTCAAATAAACATCAGACCATATTTTAGCTGGACATTGCCCAGGTAACAAGTTATTAATGGATGATATAATACCATAAGATCAATAAGTGTTGAAAAACTGTAAAACAAAATTGAAAAGTGAATTGGGAATTTTCTGCCCAAATCCATCCTCTTCTCATCTCCAGTGACTGGATGAAGAGCTTCTTAGTGTCACTGGCTTGTTTTCTGCTGGACAAGGAAAAGCAGCACTTAGTTGTTCAGAGTCCTGGGAGGAGGTGAGGAGCACTTGGGGTGTGGCTGGAGGGACACAGGTTGTGTCACTGCCTGCTGCTTTGCTCACACTGGCTGGAGCTGAGACCAGGCCAGGAGAGGGAGAGGTTCAGCATTACCTGAACATTTTGAAGAGGATTTGCTGCAGTTCTGTCTCTGAGAGTCAGTGTGGAGACCAGACTGCCCATGAGGGAGAATGCTGCAGTGCTGGCCCACTCACAGACTGGCATAAACGTGCTGAATCAGCGGCAGGATTTGAAGTCTTGCTGGATAAATGCTACCAGCTGTTAATAATATCAATGCCATATGGGAGTGCTGCAGTATCCAGGTGTGTCCTGAGGACAAAGGAAACACAGAAACTGCACAACCTCAGTCTCCTACTTGTAATTCAAGAATTTAATCTTGGACATCAGTACCGTGCCTCAATTATGGTAAACACTGGCAGTGGCCCGGGTGACACTGAAACTGGGCACGGACTCTGGGCTGGATGAACACAGCAAATAAAGGAAATGCTCATGGCTCTGCATGRCCACTGGTGCTTTGATGATCTGTACTGGAGATTCAGTTGCTGCTTACATAAGCACCTCTTCTCCTGTTTATTTTTAAATCAGAGAAATCTTTGAACCCAAATCCCAGATCCAAGTTATGGAAAATATTGATTCAAATGTAATTTCTTAGCCTCGTCTGCAGAATAGGCTACACMGTATCCAAATGGAACACTCAAAAKTGTGGATCCAGATTTTCCAGTGTCYCCTGTAAATCCTCCTGCTTATGTTCACTCCAGCTCCACTCCATTTATCTCCACTCACTGTGGCTGTTCAATTTACTGTGGTAAGGAGCTGTAGTCAAGAAATAGAACTGAGTGAAATGGGGTATTCTTGGCTGTGACTAGCAGTTAATGAAGTTGATTTCTTCCCCAGTGCTCCTTTGGGGGAAGAATCTGCTTATGTATGTTGATAGAGGTCTCAGTAGTGTCATTAAACTGATGGAGCCACCATGAGAATAGCATCAACATGCAAACAGTTAATAAAAGGACTCTRCAGCAGAAGTGAGAAGTGTGGTGAYYAACTGAAAAGAGGGGCAAACCCAGCATTTTGAAAATCCCTCAAGTGTGACAGGTTGTTTGCCCCAGTGCCCTGTTCCCTGACTCACTAAAGGCAGTCGTGGGTGCTCTCTGTGAGGGAATGGAGCAGTCCCTCATCCCAGATTTTGGCACATGGCAAATCAGAGGCTCCTGTCCCAGGGAAGTAGAACAAAGTGGTTGTGTTAGAGAAACCTGAGCTGGCAAAGGTGAAACTTCCCAAAGGAAAAACAAGATCCTATAAGTCAATGACTTGATAGAAAAGGGAATGCTGACACAGCCTAGAGCTCCTACTGCAATAAGAATTAGTTAGAATTTGAATTTTAGTATTTTTCGAGAGCAATCTGATTTTGAAAGTTTTTCTACTCTGAAATGAATGAAGCCAAAACATGTTGAAATTTCTATACTGTAGGATTGAAATGGAATTACKTTTAGCTCAGTTGATACATTTCACACATCATTTTTTTGGTTTATTTTATTCTTTGAAGCAATTAAATTCCTTTATGTTTGTAAGAATTTTGCAGACTGAAAAAGCAAGCATAGTTTCTGTGAATATAACTCCATACAATATTTTAATATTAATTTTCCCACTCAAAAGAAAATAATACTTCATATTTTATTTATAAAAATAAAATAATATATTTTAATCAACTTGTGTAATGCCAGGATACTTTGACAAAACCATACTTTTTTGTTGAAAGGCTTTTTAAATGCAGAAATTATCCAGGATCTCTAGGGATGATACAGTATCATAAAAGCTTCAGAAACAATAATATTTTATTGATTTTGTTTTGAACAAATGGTTTTACAGATCTGGTGGCAACTAGAAAAAGGCTTTGTGGTCTCATATAAGCCCATAATTATTGCAAATATCAGTGTACTCCTGGCCACAGATGACATTTCTTTCCTATGTTCATTCTTTTTCTTTTTGTCTTCTCATTTATTTATATTTGTTTTTGTCAGTACAATTACTATGTCTGACTTTAGTGAAATCGATTTTTTCTTAGCTGCAGGCTGTGGAGTGTCCCTGTGGCTTTTAGTACAAAGCAGTTAATATGACCTATCTCAAGAAAGAATTAGGCTGATTTTTAAAATCATTGTTTTTCTTGCATTGTCAGTAGAGCATAAGAATCTGAATAGCCTGGGCTTGATTCCCCACCAGCCAGAATTATGTGCAGAGGTTTCACATGTGTGAAGGCACTTCTACATACTTCAAGTGAGGTATTAAGCATTAAGAAAAAAAATAATCTTTCTTGAGATCCACTGGAAATTGGAAAATAGGCTAAGCWTCTCACATTATGATTAAGAAGTTTACCCACACAATAGCAGAACCTCACAATATTTTAATGCTACACAGGGTTAAAGTGCTGTTCATGTCCCGTCTCAGTGCTGGGACTCTCTCAGAGCCCCCGCTCCAGGAGGGTTTGGTGCCGAGTTCCAGGCTCAGCACACCGGGGCTGTTCCTTGGTGACCCTGGGGACAGGCTCCCAGGCAGTGACAGGGACAGGCCATGCCCCAGTTAAACTTCCCAGTCTATTCTTGCGCTTTCTTAAAACTGAGAACTCCAAAGATGAAGACTGTAATAAACAATTTATTTATTTGACGATGTTACACAAATTGAAAACCATGTTGCCATTTTGGCTTCTATTTTGTTGCAGATAGTTGAGATGCTTGATGCTGGCTAGACTGTGGTAGGGTTTCTAGTTATCAAAGGATAGAGGATGCCCTCCATCTGCTTTGCTTCTCCTGGGCATGAMTCTGATAGAGAAAGTTCTTCAGGAAAAGGGAGAATAACTGGTCCAGYGATTGGTTTGGTCAAGTCCAGTTTGTTTACTTGAGTCTTTTTTCTATCAAGACTGGGTGTAGATCCTACAGCCTTAGGTGGAACTGGCTTTCTGTCTTTAAGTTTGTTTTGACTTTCTCGTAGGCTATAGAAAGTGATGTCCTCATTTGAAGGGGGTAGAATTTTAACCCAGCCCACTGTTTTTTCCAGGTGTGGGGAGAAAGGATCGGCATCTGAAGTGGAAGCTTGTTGATCGTGCCTGGGTTTTCCAGGTGTCTGATTAGCTTCCTGGTTTTCCTTTTCAGGGGCAGGATCCTAAATAACAAGGAATAAGCATTATCCAAATTGAAGCAATTCCAAATTCTTTCAAATATGAAGAATATCCTTTACACTAAGGATCTGCTACATCTCTGGTCTTCCAGGACCAGCCACAGAACAGAAGCTCAAAGAATAGACACATGTAACTACTTCTAGTCCCAGGGAAGATRGGTGCATGAAACTTGGGTAACTACAGTAACTGCCCCTTGCATTCCCTTTGTGATTTACAATTYCATTGTAGAGCATTCTGAACACATTCTGCCTGATTGTCTCTATGCTCACTCTATTGCCTTTTTATCCACCCAACAACAGTCTATTTTATCACAAGAGAGATTTCTTCCTGATCTGGCCTTATCACTTCCTYGAAGCACATGTCTTTGTGAACAAGAAAACTTAAAAATTGATGGGCTTTCAAAGGTTTAATATTGGTTTTGCAAAGGAGTATTACTCTTGCAATATTAAGATTAGTTAAAGAAATACCTGCTGACTGTAGATTTCACAGGATATTGTGACAAACTGTTCCTTGTGACTGTTTACTACAGAGCCTTTGCAGAAGCCGATTTGCTGTAAGAAGAAAATACAAGCATTTTTTCACATGGTGCACTGATACTAAGCTCCAATCTTGTAAAATACRTGATTATGAAAGGCTGAATAGTTATAGCTTCTAAGTGTATTTGTAGGGATAAACAGCTTGGGCAAACTTTTATTTTGGGACTGGCAACCTTACAAAGGCAGACAGCATTTTCAAAAAGGCCTTGTTTTTGCAAAGGARGGTTAGATAACACAATAGCAGAAATAAGCCGGCTATTTAAGGCCAAATACAACAGCTTGCTTAAGTTCTCCTGCAGCAGAATATCCCTAAGCAGGCAAGCAGTGTATGGAACATAATATAATTTTCCACAGAAAACCAATTTCACACTGCAGTAGTAAAAGAAACTGTGAAAAAAAAGTTGTTTCTAGTACTTGTATTTGTACTGGGCTGTAGGTATCATGGCTTGGATCTCACTTAAGATGGGGCTTGGCATGTTTTCTCTTGACAACATGCCTGTTTAGTCTTCCAGTTTCTCTTCAATTTTTTTCCTTATGTTTTCCCTAGATAACCTGATTGTAGTATGAATATACTCTCTATGCATTGTTTGTGATTTATTGTCTGTTTCCTTGGAAGAAATCCTGAAGACTCATTCAGTTTTGTAAGGTGATGGCTACTCCACCTTTTTCTGGATGGGTTTTTTTTTTTCTGTTTTCTTTGCTCATGGACTTCTGGTGAGAATTCTGAACTCTTGCTGAAACATTTCTCTATTCTGAAGCAGTCTGTAGAGTTGCCAGACTGTATAGAGCTACAATCCATAAAAATATGACTGTGGGTTTTGKTTTTTTCTGCAAAGAACCAAGGGGATAAATCCTTAGTATTCACTGAGGAATCATAGTACCTGGAAAACTGGTATTTGTACAAGRAAGAGTACTTACACCTACTCCTGGTGGAAGTGGCTCACACCTGGAAATGTCAGCAACTGTGTCATTTTTGGAGCAAGATGTCTCCTGAATTAAAAACTCCACAAAATATGCAGGACCAACAACCCACTGTAAATGAAAGGCCAGTGGCAATTAGAACTTGTGCATGTGTCAGGAAAAATAAAGAATTCTACTGACCTTGAAATAGCTGAAAAAATCCTGCTGAGTCTGGAAGGAGCAAGTGATGCTTGGGGTATTACTGTTAGTTGTGTTAAATTGTTACAATGTTTGTTTGCTGATGCTGCTTTATTGCCTGGTCATTTTTGCTTCTTTTAATTGCGCAATCTTAGTAACTCATGGATAGGCATWATTGAAATCAGTTTGGATTTTGTCATAAGTTAGCATCCACATAGAACTACAWAGCCAAAGACCCTCTTCAGTGTCTTGCTGAGAATTTCTGGTTGTTTTAGTGAACAGGATCATTTTACTATTTCTGAAACAGGGGTTAGAAAATGGAAGTGGTTAAATAATATATTGTAGTAATACCTAGTAATACAAATATATTGTAGTAATACCTAGTAATACAAAGAAAACACCACTTTGCTATCTACACATAGTGAATTTTAAAGAGACCAGATAAGAATGTGGTAAAAAGAGAGGACTTAGCCATTCGATCATGAGTTTTCTGTTAGTTTAAAATTAGTTTTAAACCATGTTTAAACTCTTCCGGTAACTTGTGGGTATGTACTGTAAGGTATGACTGTGCTTTATTAAATATTTTCTATTAGGGTGTTGCTAATTCGTGGTGATAGAAGAATAAAGAGSTCACAGTGAAGCCTTCCTGAACTTTGGAAGCAAATCTGTGTCTTAACTTTTGCATAAAGCCCTTCTTTTTGCAATAAATGGAATCAAAGTCTTGGATCATGACGATCAGGAGAATTCTGCATAAAAGTATTCTCTGTACTATGCAAATACAAAAATACAAATCAAATACRAATACAAAATCAAAACAATCTATAAGACATAACAAAATGTAGAACTGGAGGCTCCATATTTTTGAGGGCTAAAACAAATCCGAATAACCTTGGCTTACCTGCATTGAAGCTCTTGTGACATTAAGGACAGAGAAGTAATGAGTTTGATTACTCTCTTCATTGAACTTGGCAAGACTTCGGACAGCTGTCTCCAAATATTCAGGCTTAGTTGGGTTGTCATCAACTGGGCAGTCAGGACATATTGACCAAATATATTTGGGTGGAACTATTTGTTCAAACAAAACAATGTCATTAGAGACGGCATAACCATAAGAGCRTGTTGATAGTGTAGGTCACTGTAAATGCATCAATGCCTCCAACCCTGCCCACTTGTCCTCCACTCCTGTGGAGTTACAAATTGTGGTTTGAGTCCCTCAGTAATTTTGAATCTTTATGTATTTACAGACCCATAAAAATATTATAGTGGAGGTAGAGACACTGAAGGAAAAAGTTCAACCTATTGACAGTGGGCTTGCTGTTTTTTCTTCTCTTTCACAAACCCATAAAAATGCTTTTGGTTCAGAGGGTAAAAGCCCATATACAGGCTCTGCTGAGTGAACCAGAGGTTAAAACAGTTATTACTGAACTCTTTTGAGCTGCAGGACCTCCCTGGCCTTATGATCATTGACTTGAGAAAATCAGGGCAGCTGAAGCTAATGGAGATACTGYGGTGTCATAATTACATTTAAAATTTAAAGTAATGCTTTTTGGCAAAGAGTTTTTCCAGTTCTSTTAGAAAGAATGTGTTAAAGACATACCTGGTTGCAAAGTGCACTCATAAGTATTCAGATGAGCAATATTTCTTGCCTGATTAGTGTAGATAATTGCTTTGCATCGACCGTAAACCTAAAACAATTTAAACATTTCAAAACAATTAATATTGCGCCCTTTGCACTAATCATCTAGTACCTAAACAGGAGTGGTTCATTTTCTTCATGCAATCATGGAATTTTTTTCGAGACAGAAGTTTTGTTAGTGCTCAAATGACAAGCACATTTCTAAGTATCTCCTTTAGAAATGAAAGGCCAGCTCATCCCCTGGTGTGATTCTGAGTCACACAGATGCAGTGCTTGTCTGTGGGTGGCCTGCCCWGGGCCACACTTCTGGCAGCTCAGAAATGTCCAAGTGTCACAGAATGCTCCTGCCCCAGGAGCTGGGTCTGTGTCTGGAAACCAGAAAGTTTAAACACAGAGATCAGTTCAGGGTGTTGGGATCGTTACCTGTCTTCCACCTTCCCCTTTTCCCCCATAATTATAGGGAGAGAAAGACAATAAATCTATTTTGTGTCACAGTAGGGCCACCCCTGCATACAAAAATTGACTTCATGGCAGAAAAAAATACTGGCCTATTAGTATCCATTGTACCTTTGTATTTAAGAGTTCAAAGTGTATTTTCTGAGAGCTTCTTAGATATTCCTGTATGTGTGATCAAGGCCTCTGGACATGCATTTCTGGGCTTCACTGAAACCATATCAACCATATAGGCCTCGCACCTTTTTCCTGTAAAATCACTGTAATGAGAAGTGAGCAGAATTCTTTTTTTTTTTTTTTTTTCTAGTTTTTCATTGAAAGGTTGAAATTGATTGACTTTAGAAGCAGTCCAGGACAATTGAATCATAACTTCCTATTTTTTTTGTTTCATGTGAAACTTGTTTCATGTCATTCTTCATTTTCTAAGTTTTTTTTCATTTTTTCAGGATAGTTTTGGTCACCTCTAGGAACAGTCATGAACCACTTTCTGTCTTTGCAGCTTATCTTGCTGAGCTTTCCTTTTTCTCCTATTTCAGCACAATTTTTGCAAAGTTGTCAAAACAMAAGTGGAATTAMACTAAATCAAAAATCACATGTTATATAAAAGTGAATTTCTTTTATTCCCTGCTTGACAGGCTGTCTTTAAAATAAACTCTTACAGGGTTGCTATAGAAAGTAAACCATTATTCTAAATAGTGTCCTAGCATGGGTGTTTAGTTTGGTCTGTTTATTAGCTCTGGTCAAAAACTTTCAGATAATTTTCACTTTTTAAAATAAATCTTACCAGTCTWTAAACTGATTAGAAGGTACAGGGTAAAAYTGTGGATTTTATAAAATGGGCTTTGATTTTTTCCAAGCCTTGTTGCCCACTAAAAAAGCAAGTGTAGGGATTTTGCTGTCATCAGTAGTACCTGAGAAACCCCTCATATCTGAGATTAAATAGAAAAATAACATCCTTACAGTTGAATCAGCAGGTCTGGGGTTACATTTCTTCCACAACTTTTTGCTGAGTACATGGCATTCAGTATCTACTACATCCAAGATGAGATAGAAGACAGAACCAGTGATCTCCTGAAAATARGAAACAAAAGGGTCACATGCCAGTTTTGTATCAAACAAAGTAGGGACACATAAAAAGAGGAGATGGAGAAATGGAAAACACACTGGTGGAATGCATAGATATCCTGAAAACTAAACATTCTGTGACAAAAGTGGCAAATGAGGTGAAATTCAGGCCCTGTTAAAAGCAGCTTGGTCATGCAGCAAGCCAGCTTTACATGAAGAACAGTCATTTGGTCAGTTTTATCCTTCTGTTTCTGGTACCAACCAGAATYCAAGAATAAAGACTAAACATGTTGATGTTTTCATTGTCAACTACATTTTATTATCAGATTTGAAAGGTAGGTTATTTTGCCTGAAATAAGAATGCCGTGATAAACACCACAACTAATAAAAAACTGCTAACATGGAACATTGTCAGTAGGCATCCTCCAGAACTTAGATGTGAGTRTTAGCTGYATGTTTAGGCTGAGATTAWGTSTTTGCTGAAGGGGGAGAAAAATCAAAACCGAATGAGAGTAGGATTCATGCATCCCTGATTGATTGCATTAATTTATAGAGAAGACATTAAATGGGGCAGCAGTCTTGTGGAAGTCTGGGGCTGGTGTCTGWATCATGTTGGCTTTAGTTTTGGTTCCTGTTTAGCAGTTGACTAAATATCAGTCAATAGGGCATCTATAGGCTGGAGTTCTGCTGGCTTTTTTGTGTTTATACTGCTTAGAAAACCATTAAGTGGTGTCTGCTGTGGAGGTCTGAGGAGATCGAGTGATATAAACTACACCTATCACACCCTACAGAGATCTGAGTGAAGGTGGTTTTATGTAAACTCTGCCATATATACTTGTAATAGTAAAACCTTTAAATATGAATAAGCAAAACTAACAGAAAATAAAGAATTATTTCTTTTTATCATTGTCTCTTAGTTCTGTTCTTACATATGCAACTTTTCATGCTTTCTATGATTTTTTTTTTGTATTTTCATATCATCTTTTTTTTTCCTAAGTGTTCTGTACAGTGATCTGCCTTGCACTGAGCTCTCAGGGTTTGCTTACAGTAATCCTGAGGTTTAATTATAAGTGTCATTTTGAAGGCTGTGAAAAATAAACAAAAGCTGTTTTGACAAAGAATGATGTTGAAGTGCAGCAGCACTGTTTGTGCAGTGGAACAGCAGTRTCCCCACACCTGGCTGCTGAGATCCTTCTGTGGAAGGAACTAAGCATAATTTTCTGTTTACATACRAGACACCTACATACCATGATAATATGTCTCTTTAATACGACAGCTAATATAGCTTAAATAAGTAAACACAAAGTAAGATTGGTCAAAGAGTAATTGCTACTTACTGAGAATGTGTTTTTCAGTAGCGCAGCATTTGGTACAAGTTTGTAACCTTAAATATAATTTCCACAAGAAAAAAAGCTATCAGATTACCCACACGAAGAAGAAACAGCCAAGAAAAATGTGTATCTTTAAGGAGTGCCATAGTTGGAATTGGTGGCTTGAACTTTCAAGCTGGTTGTTAAGGTATTCTGGAGGCAAAAGCATGYACATACCTCATTAAAGAAATGTTCTTATAATCCAATGTGTTTGGTGTTAGATRGGTTTCCTCAGCTGAATCATGAATACTGATTAAAAAGCTTGGTGATATTAGAAGCACTAAATGCAACCAGGGCAGACCAAACTATATTTCTTGTTGCCTATAGCTCTTTTGTATAATACTAGCTCTAATAAGCAGATGAGGTTATTATAAAATCTACACATCTTTTGGTCTACCTGCTTCTGTATGTATCATCCTCCACTGGGGAAAGGATAATTTGGGGCTTATTCAGAGCTCAGCAGATCACTGAAGGTTTAATCATCCTATTTTAATTTTCATTAGAAGACCATTATGCAAAGGCCTTTTGATATCTGCTTAGGATTGAATAAAAAGTTGTATATCTTTCCTGCATTGCCAAAAAACATCCCTTCCTCAGCGCTCCTGGTGCCAGTCTGCAACATGTGCTGGGCAGCCTGGCAGCCAGAGGAGATGTGGCAGCAGGGTGACCTGGTGCAAGGGAAAGAAATGAAATATTTTGGCATGTTTTAACTTTGKTTAAGTGCCTGTCAGTGAAGCTTATCATAAGTATCTTGTGTAAAAGCGAGTCCTGTCCTACTTGCATATAAGTTAATAGCAGATGGCTCATTAGTTTCAATTAGAGCAAAGCTGAACCACAGGTTGCTTAAGGGCAGATTTGAATTTGAAGTAACTTTGAAAATATTTTTATCCTCAGTACTGCTTAAGAAAGTGAGAGAAAGGACCACTGACTGGTGTGGGAAAGAAAAAAAAGTCATTTTTTTGAGAGGAATGGGAGGTGGCATAAGGCTGTTGCTGTCCATGAACCCCCTTGACATTACTGACCGTTCCTTATCTGCTCAGTCTCCACAGCAGCAAAAATAGGATAAAGGGCTGAGAATGTCTAGTTTGTTATTGCAATGTCCTGAAATACCTTATTTACAGGATACAAATATTAGATGGAAAAAAGAAAGATTAAAAGTAAATAAATAAATTAAACCCCAAGATGAATAAAGTATGCTTACTCAAAAGCAATAAGGGAATTAAGGGGAAGACCAAATCACAACCAAGGACCAAAATTCTCCTGTGCTGAGATATCTTTGTCAGAAGAAGTTGGGAGATGACTTAGGTGGTTTACAGCACATCTGCACCCACCATGCTGCACTCCAGGGCAGTCATAGGGGGCTCTAGTTATTGGCAACAGGAAATAGCCCCAGGAGCGGGTCTGASTACCTAACTCCATGACTGGTGATATGGGTTCTGGGCCAGCTCACATGCACCATGTGGAAAAATTCTGAAGAGACCTGATCCAATTGCTTAGTGGGCACATTCTGTCACCTGAGCAAAGCGATACAGAGAACATAGTGCAAAGCACAGCAGAGCATCTTTAGCTGTGAGATCTGGGGTTGCTGGAGTTCCTGCAGTGTGTCTGCAGGAACCATGTCCTTGTAAGAGCCGCAGGAAGAAGTGTCCTATCTTTGCCAGCACACATCTGGCAACGAGCCTGATTTTCTACAGAGTTCAGAACTCAGCCTTTCAGGTAAACTTGTGGCAAGTGAGCAGACCTTGCAGGGAATGTCAGCAGCAGGCTTCCATAGTGCCTAATTTGTTATGTACCCTTGTGAATTCATTTCAGGCTGTCCCTAGTTGGTGCCTGTAGATTCAGTTATTGTAACACAGAATAGTAATAAATTAAGCACACACGGAGAAATAAGATACTTGAGGAAATGTGAGTGATACTCTATAGGTATTTCCAGTGTATTTTTTGCCCTTGAACTGGTTTCAGGTTTCTTCTGGAGAATGAGTCATCTTTTAGAGGTCTGTAAAGGAATTCCTTGGTCCCAAAYGGGATGTGTTTACACCTGTTAGTGCTCACATCCTTTGTGCAAAGCACGCGATGACTTACTAGCCTTTGCACTCCAACYGCTCAAGGCAGTGGGAGGAAGGTGTAAAATGAAATTAAATCAGAGTAGTGGTGTTTCATATCAAATTTGAACTGATGCCTGGAGCTATTCCAAGGGCAGGCAGCAGAGAGTCATGGCTGAGATTTGCTCTCTAATTGCCCACAGTGGTGATGAAATTGTTTCTAGTCTGTGCATAAAGTTGACATGGCCTCTGGAGTCCTGTGAATGGAACTTCGCATTTGCCTTTTGAAATATTTCTTAGTTCAAATAGATATTTCTAAGAAAAAGTGATAGACACAGGGATATATTGAGCAAGAGGATGACTTACCTGCAGTTGCTCTCGGGCACTGACAATTCGGTAGAGACTGAGTACATAGCCCTCTTCTCGGTCAGCATTGATCTGGCGGAGAGCCATGTCTGCAGCCTCCACCACTGCAGCGTCATCACAGCGGGGGGAGAGCAGTGCAGCCCCAGCTCCTCGGGCAGGAGGGGCAGCAGTGCAGGAGCAAAGCACCTGGATGCCAAAGAGCATCCAAACAAGCCTAACCATTGTGCTCAGAGAGCTGGTGCTGCAGATCAGGGTGGTCAGTCGGGATGGAGGGGCTGAGAGASACCGCAGACTTTTATAGTGGAGCCGTGGCTCTTTATAAACTTGTGCCCCCTTTTTATTACATACTGACCATCACCTTTAAACCTAGAGCTGCAAYAGTAAACACTAAGTCAATGATTACAAGGTTTTACAGTAATGTTGTTGCTCCCTCTGAGACCAGAGAGCACTTTCTCCTTCTGGCGTTCCATCTCTAATTTGGACTTCACTGGGCACATCGTGCAGCTTTGACCTCATGGCAAAGGATAAGAATACACACACAGCTACTTCCTTAAGAAACCAGATTTGTTTGAATAAATCTRCGTGCAGAACAGATTTGGCTCCAGCCCTGTTCTGTCAGTGATCCAGTTCTTCTCCCAAATAAAACATTGACAAAGATCTCAGTAATTTGAACAGGAAATGGAGAAGTGTCACAAGGTTGAGTGATTTTGCACTTTGTATTTGTTAAATGCCAATTGTAAGCAAATTTATTGACTCTATTATATGCAGTCAATTTGGTCGTGATGGAAAGCTCAGTTTGGATGCATTCTGTGAGCATTTCTACTCATCTGGATACCTACAGATGAATGCTACCTCTTAGCCCTGGAGGCACTGAGACCTCTCAAGAGTCATGGAAAATACTGCCTGGAGAAACTTTAGTTTGAAATGACAGCGTTGTGCCTTGTGAATAACCTGTCAGGAACTCCATGCTGGAGACAAGGGGGAATAACTTTACAAGTTGCTGCTGTCTTGAATATCTGAAGAAGTGGCAGCAACCATTACTTGGGGAGGATCCCAGTGAATGTCACTGGTTTTCCACTAAGGGGCAATTCTGCTGCATTTCACCTAGAAGGATACCAGAACCTGGGTTACCACTTCCCTGCCTCTTTTTTTCTTTTGTGTCATGGGACTCTGTGATTGCAGCTTTCTGCTGGAGGACACCAAGTACTTTTAGGTTTGAAGGTTATATTGAGTGAGGAAGAAACAGTGCAAGTGAAGAGTGTAATTGTTTCTTCAATACTGCTGTGAAATTTGGGGTCGTTAAAAATTTCTATATTGTCACTTTTTTAACTAGCGGTGTAAAGAATGTTAGCCCAGAAGTGTTCATGTTCCTATGGGAGGAAGCAGAATGTGTTCCAGGACATGTCCCTAGAAAGCTGGGAAGGATTAAACAGAGCCAGAAGATCTGCAACAGCCCTGGAGCTGAAACCCTTGCAAGAAGACTTTGGTGGCAGAAGTGCAAAACTCCAATAGCAGGACAGAAGGGGCACATGGCTGCTGGAATGAGCCCCTCATGTGTYGCCAGTTGCTTTGCAAACTCAGGGTGAGGGATAATGTATGGACTGTGTCCCAGAGGGAAGGGATACAAGGGSTGAGTGTTGAATCCTGCTGTAGCCATAGTACAGGAACCGCAGAAGCAGCAATGCAGACTCACTCACATTGTTCCTTGTGCCTGGGGATGCTTCCCCTGCGGCTAAAGGATAATAACTCATTTTCTTTATCCTTACAGTGCGTGGCATTTCTATGGAGATGGGTGCCAGTTAGTACTGGCTGTGTCGGTGCTTCTTATAATAGGGAATTGTTATATCCCTGACTCTGTTCTTTGTACTCTTCCTCTGCCTSGAAAGGAAAAATTCCTCTGTTGAAGTAGCTGACCTCAAAACATGGTCACAGCTGGGAAATCYGAGCATGTCCAGCCAAAGCAGCACATGAAGTACATATGCTTTTGCAAAACATGTTCTTTTTTTTTTAAAAAAAAAAAAAAAGCTGAAAAACATTGTCAGCCAGCAATGCAGACCTGACAAAACTCTTCATACTAAATTTCAAGAGAGGGAGAATTTGTATTTTATGTATCACCATTTCATATCTCTCATTACCCAGAGAAGCTATTGTTAAATACTGAATCTGTTACTAAGGTCTAGTGCATAAAAATGGGGCTATATTGGGAGGAGACAAAGAGATTATTTCAAAGCAGTCATGGAAAACTGATCTGTAAGGGGCATGATGTGTCCTTTAGAGGGCAAATATTAAGGAGAAAGAAGATGAAGTGCAGTTATCAAAGTGGAATTCACAGAGAAATGTTTTTTCATGTTTTAGAAAACAAGGGAGTGGTTGTACCAGGTGCAGGAGAACATCTGTGAAGTATGGAGCCTGCAGATATTTCTGCTGCATATATTTGCTTTGTGTGGTTGGAAAAGGGCAACAAGCAAATGCAGCATTTCTGGAGTTCAGAGATCTGTGAGGGCAGGGATCCCTTCTATAAAAGTACTGTTCCTGACATTWAAAAATTTTCTAAGCTCAGAAACATGCTCTTTTCTGTAACTTACTTCTTATTTCATTATATACAAGACAATTTCCATGGTTTAGTTAAGGTGACTCCTAGTTTTGAAAACTCTCATGTATCTGTTGTTAAAGTGATCCAAAACATAATAGTTGCCATTGCATTAAATCCTGTACAGTGTCTCATGCATTGAGATGGGAAGATCACSTATTTCCTGCAGTAAGAAATTTCTACAGCTTCATGTTAGCATTTTTGAAGGAACGGCTGCACACAGGATATACTGGAGTCACYRCTTTGCAGAGAAGCAAAAACTCCCRAAYCACTGACTGGCCATGGCTGGTGCAATTGCCCTCAACACCTTCCCTGCAAAACTCAGCATTTGCTTGAAATGGGAGACCTGCTACCTTCATGGGCAGAGCTTGCCCTCAGCTGGGTTATGGTTTATAGAGTCTGGGCTGATTTCCCTTTTTCTTTCCTCTCTACACACCCAGCTGAAGTGCTGGTGCAAGTGCCAATGGCTTTTCCCTTCCCCATTAACACAGCAAAGCAGAACCTTCCTGTACTGTGAGCTGTTGCACCATCACCAAGAGCAAATGTTAGTTGGTTGCTTACTGAGTACAGAAGGGTTGTAAGTAGAACAGGACAGGTTATTTGGAACAGTTCAGAAATGACATGTGTTCTGCAATTTTTTGCTGCCTGCATGATAATTATCTTGTAGCAAGTGCTGTTCCTGGTTAAAGATTCATGACTGTCTTTTAGACTGCTCCCCAGGGCCTGCAGAATTYCAGTCTGGCTGGCAGTAAAGATCCTTCTGGCCCCAGCCCCTTATTAATTCTCTACCTTGAATAGATTCTGCCTCTAACATGTGCCAGAAATTCAGGGAAGATTTGACTGCTAGGACAATTGTAAATTGCCATCACTGTCTGGGTCCTGTTATATGAGATACATATGTGTCACATTTTTTATTCCCTTGAATTGGCATTTCCTCATATGCACACAGACCATACAGAACCCCGTGATTGTACTGCACTTGTGTGTCTGCTGGAAGACAGACAATACACATGTATTTGGCTGCAAGGATTGATGCTTTCAGCCTGCCAGCAATGAGTATGTCCTGATTATCTGTTCTTTTCATAGACATGGATGTTCTTGTGCCATGTCCAAAAGTTTTGAGGTACTTCTGGAGGATATAAAAAGTAGGTACATACTAGAAAATATTACAGGTGGAAGGGGAAAATACGTTTCTCCCTGCCACTTCTTTAGTGTTATTGGTGTATGATCAAAAGAGAGGACTGACCTGATTTTCCGCAGTGCTCAGCACCCACACATCCCAGTGAAGCTGATGAGAAGTGCAGGAGCTTAGTGTTTTTGAAATCAAGCCCAGAATATGACTCATAATGCTGTGAAGGAGATACTTGACAACTAAATGAAAATATATACAGATAGAAGGTAGCAAAGCATTGAACATTTTATTGTGAACTAACCTTTCAGGTGGTGTTTCTAGCACAAAGCTACAACTGTTGTATAGCTCTTACAACATTTGAAACAATATTTCCTGTATTTTAACTAGAGAATCCCTGTATGTCAAGAAAACTACAGCTATAAGTTGTAATCATCTATATTTTGGAGCAGGCCTTTTCAAGACTCTGACCATGGCTCTGCTCTCTGGAGGGTAAAACTCATTTAGGCTTAGAGTCAACTGTTCTCACCTATTTGTGCTTGATATTGTGGTCTGTTTGTTGCTGCTGCTGCTGCTGCTGCTGCACTGATACTTCAGTTTGGCTGCATTGCATGTCTGAAACACAGCCTAGATATCAAAATGGCGAATCCTCCCAGGGCAGGGAGGAGGAGGAGGCACAAAGCCAACTCGGTGAGCTACTTTGTCATGCTGTGCAGGCTCTGCAACTGCTCTCTTTGCTACAGATTTTGCTGAGAGCATGGAACGCAAAATTTCTGAAGAGGCGGATTCAGATGCAACAGGGTTATTGTGGGCAAGCCCAAGATTATGGTTTATGAAGCCTACAGCACTGGGCACCAGTCCTGCTGACGTGTCTTGACCCGGATGAGCGTAGATAACTCCATGCTGGAAAAGAAAAACAGTTTGTGTTGGTTTTCAGTGATCTGGGGCTTTTGACATACAGGTTGTTGATACTTTACTAGCTGGTCATTGAGACCTGCTCCTAACTAGCTGTAGGCCTGGAACCCAGATACAAATGTTCCCGACCATCACAGAAGTCTGATTAACACATGCACAGGAACCCAGGAACACATTTTTTATAGCTGGTGAACCACTAGGACCAAATTCTGTGCTATATAACTTTCAGGGCCACTTGCACAGCTGGCGAAACATTCAAGACCAGCTGTCTCATCTTCTCTTTCATAGCTCTTAGACAGCTAATTATTATTGAGTTACTAAGAGCTCTTGTCCATAGGAAGTATTCAGCTACCACCCAGTCCTTYTGAGACCAAATGTAGGTTAAAATACTTGCAGAGTACTCAGGTCAAGTGCATATGTTTCCCACCCCTTGCTGTAGCAGTGCAGGTCAAGATCCCTGAATTCAGTCACATCTAAGGACTACTAAAAGCCTCCAGCTGATTTAATCTACCGCAATGCTGATTTTTTTTTTTTTTTTTACATTTATCTGTCCCATCCCTTTAGCTGAGCAGAGTTTGGTTCTCTTTGCCTTGCTAGACATGTGAATCTCACAGATGGTCAGGAAGACATTATCTGTCAAGCATGGATGGTGGAGGTGACTTAGTTCCCAGAAAATAAATCCACAGGACA